GGTGCTCGCACACAGGCAGACAGCTGTGGCCCCACACAGAATTGCAGACACACCCTTTCAAGGACTCACTCCCAGTCCCCTGTGACCAGGTGGCACATACACCCCTAGTTGGGGTTATGGACACAAACTTGGGGGAGACATGGGGGCTGGAGGGAGGGCAAGACCCCGAGCTGGACCCTGATCACCCCCCCACCAGAATGAGAGGGAGAACACCAGCTATGACGTGGCCACCCTGCAGGACGAGGAGGGTGAGCTGCCCGACTTCCCAGGTGAGCTCCCACCTGCCCTCCTTCACCCATTGTGTCTGGGGCCCCAGGAGTTGGAGCCTTGACCCATAGGCATAGAGAGAGGTTGCATCTGGGAGGGAGCTTGGCCCGCCCCATTAGTTATTCCACTCCCCAAAGTCGGCCTGCCCAGGGACCCTGGGGCCTGACTCTGTGTCCCCTGCCAGGGGCTGAGGCGCTGCTCTCCAAGCACCTAAGCCCATCGGCCCAGGACCTCTTGGCCTCGCTGCAGGAGCAGGTGGCCATGCTCACCAGACAGAACCAGGAACTGATGGAGAAGGTCCAGGTGGGGAAACTGAGGCCCGGGAGGGTTGGATGGGGACAGACCTGAGGGGCTGTTCCCTGGGGGGGTTGGGCGGGCACGTGGCTGACTCTGTGGACAGGGAAAGTGGCATGGCTGCCCTGTGCCCCCCATGGCCACTTCAGCTCTTACCCGGCTGCCCTGCCCCTGCCAGATTCTGGAGCACTTCGAGAAGGATGAGATGGAGGCTGACAGTCTGGCCGAGGTCATCCCTCTGGCGCTGTACGACTCTCTCCGGGCTGAGTTTGACCAGCTCCGCAGGCAGCATGCCAAGGCCCTGCAGGCGCTGGGGCAGCAGGAAGCACAGGAGGGCCCTGGAGAAGAGGAGGCAGCCCCTGGGGAGGGCAACGGCCCGGGAGCCAAGACCGTCAGAAACGGACCAGTGGAAGCAGAGCTTAACGGCACTGCAGCTCCGGAAACCAGAGTTAATGGAGCCGAGAGCACAGATGAGGAGGCTGCGGGAGTAGAAGCTACGGAAGCCAGAGCTTCGGAAGCAGCATCCATGGTGGCGGAGGCCACGGAAACAAGACCCACGGACGCTGAGGCCACGGAAACAGAGGGTGTGGGCGCCGAGCACTTGGAAACAAAGGCCGCAGGGGCTGAGGTCACAGAAACAAAAACTCTAGAAGAAGGAGGAAACCCAGAAACAGAGGCCACGGGAGCAGAGTCCACAAATATGAAAACAGAGGAACCAGAATGGAAGCCCAGTGGAACAGGTGCTGTGCAGGAAGAGCTCACAGGCACAGGGACCATGAAAACGGAGGCCATGGGAGTGGAGGCCACGACCCCGAGGGTCACCACAGGCCCCGCCCTGCACCCCAGTGCTGTTGAGCTGGAGGCGGCCCACGGCAAGTGTGAGCCCGCGGAGGCCGAGGGTGGTGGGGCTGGCGGGGTCAGCAGTGGTGACACAGGCCAGCTGCGGGCCGCCCTGGAGCAGGCCCGGGAGGACCTCCGAGACCGGGACTGCCGCCTCCGGGAGCTGGAAGCAGCCTCGGCCCGGCTGGACGAGGCCCAGGCCGGCCGGCTGTTGGCCGAGGAGGAGGCTCGGGGCCTGCGGGCAGAGCTGGCCCAGCGGGAGGAGTTGCGGCTAGAGCTGAGCCGGGAGGTGCAGGCCCTACGGGAGCAGCTGGCTACGGCCGCAACCGCTGGGGAGCAGCAGCGGGCCGCGGCCGTCAAGCTGGGCCAGGCGCGGGATGTGGCTGAGGCCCGGGCTGCTGAGCTGGCCGCGGCCTGCGAGGAGGCTCGGCGGGGCCTGGCAGAATTGCGTGAGGCCTCCGAGGTGCTCCACCAGTCAGTGGTGCCAGCCTCGGAGCATCACCGGCTGCAGGAGGAGGCCCTGGAGTTGCGGGGCCGGGCAGCCAGCCTGGAGCAGGAGGTGGTGGCCACGGGCAAGGAGGCCGCCCGTCTGCGGGCAGAGCTGGAGCGCGAGCGTGTGGGCAGCGTGGCCCGCCTAGAGCACGAGCGCATCGTGGATGCCCTGCAGGCCGATGTGGCCCGGCTGCAGGGGCAGCTGGAGGAGCTGGGGCGACGCCACGAGAAGACCAGCGCCGAGGTCTTCCAGGTGAGCACGGCGGGATCCTCATCGGGCACAGCCAGTAGCCAGTTGGTGGTCTGTTCTAACCCCACAGCCATGCGATGTTTCGACCCCATCAGTTTCAATCCTGCAGAGACTTGACGCTGCGATATATCTAGGTGGACCTTTGACCCTGCAGCCATTCTGACCTCCTGGGTGTTTCAACTGGTGTTTTCTTTTTAAAAACCTTTTGGCCATTTTGACCCCATCATTTTTTCTAATGGTTAGCCCTTTTTGCCGTCTTCCTTTTTTGTTTTTTGTTGTTTTTTTTGCGGTACGCGGGCCTCTCACTGTTGTGGCCTCTCCCGTTGAGGAGCACAGGCTCCGGATGCGCAGGCTCAGCGGTCATGGCTCACAGGCCTAGCCGCTCTGCGACATGTGGGATCCTCCCGGACCGGGCCAAGAACCTGCGTCCCCTGCATCAGCAGGCAGACTCTCAACCACTGCGCCACCAGGGAAGCCCGCCATCTTCCTTTTTATCTATCTATCTATTTATTTATTTATTTTTGGCTGTGTTGGGTCTTTGTTGCTGCACGTGGGCTTTCTCTAGTTGCGGTGAGAGGGGGCTACTCTTCGTTGTGGTGCGTAGGCTTCTCATTGCGGTGGCTTCTCGTTGCGGATCACAGGCTCTAGGCATGTGGGCTCAGTAGCTGTGGCTCGTGGGCTCTAGAGCACAGGCTCAGTAGCTGTGGCGCACAGGCTTAGCTGCTCCGTGGCATGTGGGATCCTCCCAGACCAGGGCTCGAACCTGTGTCCCCTGCATTGGCAGGTGGATTCTTAACCACTGTGCCACTGGGGAAGTCCCCGGCACGTGGGATCTTCGTTGCAGTGCACGGGCTCAGTAGTTGCGGCGCACGGGCTCTCTAGTTGTGACACGCAGGCTCTAGAGCATGTGGGCCTAGTTGCCCCACAGCATGTGGGATCTTAGTTCCCTGACCAGGGATCGAACCCACACCCCTTGCAGTGGAGGAAGGAGGATTCTAAACCACTGGACAACCAGGGAAGTCCTGAAGGTGGATCTTTTGACTCCACCTCTTTTCTTAAATACACACACACACACACACACACACACACACACACACACACACATCCCGCAAAAAAACCTAGCAACTGTTTTCAACAAATATGTGAATAAAAAGCCACATTTGTTAGTTGTCATCAGGAAAGCATTTTTCTCTCCATGCCTCTGTTTACTCACCTGTATAATGGAGCTAATAATAGTTCTTAGTCCTCACGTGAAAATTAAATGGTTTAATTCTACTTAGGACAGTGATGGTACAAGTGATTAATAATTGCAGCCAGGATTACTGTTTTTCTAAGAATATTCTCTTCTATTTTTTTTTTTTTTTTTTTGGCTGCACTGCTTTCAGGGATCTTAGTTCCCCAACCAGGGATCTAACCTGTGCCCCATGCAGTGGAAGCGTGGAGTCTTAACCACTGGACCGCCAGGGAAGCCCTGTTTTCTAAATTTTACCTTCCTTCATGATCACTTCTTTTGTGGGTAAATTTTGCAAGTCTGATTTGATTCAGACTTAGTTGTTTTTTTTTTTTTTAATTGTTAAGGTGTAGTCAGTCTGTACTAAGTGGAACATCTAATTATTATCCATTTTCCCTGACCTATTATTTCTATTAAGGCCAATGATCCCCCCAGGATCAATTTTTGCAAATCTAACACTGCTCCAATCTTGATATTTTTGTGAAAATGCAGTCATCAGTTTTGGGGCATTTGTTTGCTTTTCATCCAGACTCTTCTGTTTTTCCTTCATTTCGTAAGAAATCTACAAACCTTCACACCACTGGCAGAGAAAAGGACATTGGCTATATTGTAATAATAATGATAATAACGTTCATTATGTAATAATAACAGTAAAAACAACATCACAAACTTGAAGATAGCACTTACTGTGTGCCAAGCACCATTCTAAGTGTATTCCATGTATTTTCTCATTTTATCCTCACAATCACCCTGTGACGTGGAGGCTCTTATTATCCTCGTTTTACATATGAGCAAATTGAGACACAGAGAGCTTATGTCACTTGTCTAAGGACACACAGCTTGGCAGAGTCAGAATGTTCATCGTGCCCAAAGAAATCCAGAACTTCCCTGAATCAAATCCCTTGAGGCCAAATGGGCTTGAATAGCCTCAGACCAAAATAGAAGGGTCAGAATCTTTGGTGTCCAGGCATCTTTGGGGTCCAGACGTCCTCAGGGTCACACATGGGTTTGGGCCGCAGGTGCAGCGGGAGGCGCTATTCATGAAGAGTGAACGGCACGCGGCCGAGGCCCAGCTGGCCACCGCAGAGCAGCAGCTGCGGGGGCTACGTACTGAGGCCGAGCGGGCACGCCAGGCCCAGAGCCGTGCCCAGGAGGCCCTGGAGAGCGCCAAGGAGAAGGACAAGAAGGTGGGTCCCATTTTCTTGTGCTCAGTCAGGGGACCCCCCACTCGACAGAGGTTGGAGGGAATCTAAGAATGTCCTAATGGAAAGAGCCTTGGGAAATCAGCCCATTTTCCAGATGAGCAAACAGAGTCTCCAAGAGGCAAACTGAGTGTCTTGACTCTGAGTGTCTAGACAGTGGATGTGACCCCCAGAGCCCCAGGTACTTTAGCACACAGAGAAACCCAGCCCCAACCTGCTGTGTGACCCTGGGCAAGTCACTTGACCTCTCTGAGCCCCAGTTTCCACCTCTGTAAAATGAAGGTAAAATTGTGGTAGGGATTATGGTTTATTTGTAGCAGTGTTCCTCCCCCTCAGCACTAGTGACATTTGGGGCTAGGTTATTCTTTGTGGGGGACCATCCCGGGCACTGTGGGGGGTGGAGCAGCATTCGTGGCCCCTACGCACTCGATATCAGGAACACCCCCAGTGGTGACAAACACAGATATTGCCTGGCATCCCGGGGAGGCAGGATCTCCCCTGGTTGAGAACCTCTGATCTATAGAAATAACAATAGAGCCCAGCATTTATTGAGTGCCTGCTGTTTGCTGGCAGAGTTTAAACTTAATCACAGCAGCCTACCAAGGTGAGAAGTGTGATTCTCTTTACAGATGAGGAAACTGAGATTCAGAGGGTTTAAGTCATCTTCCCAAGATCTCCAGCAGGGAAAGGGTAGAGAAAGACCCAAACCCTGGCCTGTCTGACTCAGCCCCACCAGGCCAGGCTGCTTTTCGGCCCTCCTGTTCTGTCTGTCTCCGCTTTCACTTTCCGGGACTCCAAGATCCACAAGCTTTTTCTGTAAAGGGCCAGACGGTCAATGTTTTTGGCCTTACTTGGCCAGGGTACTCAGCTCTGCTGCTGATGCAGGAGCTGTAGACGCTGTGACAATGAATGGGGCTTGGCCGTGCACCAATAACATTTTACGTTTGGCCGTGGAAATGTGAATTTGGTTGAATTTGCACATGTCGTGAAGACTTCTTCCCCCTCAACCATTTAACATGTGGAAACCATTCTTAGCTGATGGGCCGGACTCAGCCTGCAGGGCAGAGTTTGCTAACCTCTAGGATGCGACTTTCCCTCCAAGGCCTGTCCTTTGCCTGGAAAGGTCGCAGGCCCCCAGCCCCGGGCTCAGGGTGCTAGCTGACCCTCCCCTGATCCCACTTCAGATCACAGAGCTCTCCAAGGAAGTCTTCAGTCTTAAGGAGGCACTGAAGGACCAGCCTGGAGCCCCAGGCTCCTCGGAGGTGGAGGCCCTTCGCGGCCAGGTGAAGGCTCTACGGGAGCAGCTGGAGGTGAGAGCCTCACCCACCCGCTGGGCACAGGGGTCCCAGGCGGGTGACGGGCAGGCAGGAGGTTGGGCACATGGGCCAGGAGTGGAAGGAAAACAGTTCAGTATTTTAGCAAGCAGCACTGTCATGCCGGCGCCTGCCATCAAAATAGGGGCTCGGGGTGCAAAGGGGGCTTTCTGGCATATCTTGGAGGGGGTTCTGCTTTTCTGAGCGCCCTCCCCACACCCACAGGAAGCTGCCAGGGACCACAGTGCAGTGGTGGCCTTGTACAGGAGCCACCTCCTCTACGCCATTCAGGTGAGTCACCCTGGCTTTGGGTGCGCCACTGCTGCTCCCTGGGCCTCAATGTCCCCATCTGTACAATGGGACACTGGTCGAGGGAAGAGGTTCATGGCCTCCGGGGCGGGGGGTCAGGGAGGGGAATGGAGAAGCTGGGTGGGGGGCGGTGGGGAATGCCCAGGCTCTCTCCGCTTCTCTCCACCTCCCGCCCCAGGGTCAGATGGATGAAGATGTACAGCGGATTCTGAGTCAGATCCTGCAGATGCAAAGACTCCAGGCCCAGGGCCGCTGAGGTCAGAGCACTGCCCTCCGCCTTCCAGGCCCCGAGTTGGGGCTCCCAGACTCACGCGCTGACCATCCGCACTTGGAGACCAGCCTGGGCTCCTTCCCAACGATCCCTCACTGCCTCCACGGCCCCAGTGGTCCTTGCATGCGCTGGTCAGTCTAGACCCAGGCCCTGACCGTGTACCCTTCCCTGCGCCGGAGAATTTGTGAGTCCCATCCCTCACGTCTGGTCTTATCATCAGACGCCACCCCAGGAATAAAAGCTCACGGAGCAGAGGATGAAAGCATCGTGTGGCCTGATTGCTGGGCTCCCACTGCAAAGCGGGGAAGGGGCGGCCCAGAGCAGGGATTGGGGATTAGGGTGAGGAGAGCAGGACAGGCCTCAGTCCCCAGAGGAACACTATGTTACTATGTTACTGCAATATCTTTTTTCTTTCTTTCTTTCTTTTCTTTTGGCCACACCACACAGCATCTTAGTTTCCAGACCAGGGGTTGAACCGCGCCTCCTGCCTTGGATGCGCAAAGTCGTAACCACTGGACTGCCAGGGAATCCCCCAGTTACTGCACTATTTTTAAAAGTCAGAATGGGTTCCCAAAAGTTCATGATGAACAAGATATGCAAATGTCAAATGAAGACAGAGTCTGAGGCTGCACGACTTACCTCACTGCCCTCACCCTAAACCCGGCCCTGGTGGGAGTGTCCCACACCCTCCCACAGCCTCTTTGCCCCTGGGCCAACCCCCTGAAATCCCCTGGGGGTTCTTGGCTTTTTCCAGCTCGGGCAGGAAGGCAGCTCCGTGTCCAGCCTGTTCCCCAGGTTTCCTCAGCGTCCAGCAGTGGCTCTGCCTGTCCCCGGGCATCCCAGGCCCTTGGAGAATGTCCACGGTTCGGGGCTGCCTTCTGAGAGCCTGGGTTTCTGCCTCTCTGTGGCCTGGAGCGTGGAATGTGGCTGGCGGGGGTGGGGGTCCCCATCTCTGTGGTTGATGAGTGATGGGCATCCTCTGTTGGCGCCAGCTGCTCTCTGTTCCTCCCTGCCCTGGCTGCTGTCTGTCTTTCTCCCTGTCATCATGGCCCTCCCCGGCGTGCCCTCTCCTCGCTGCAGCCGGAAGGAAGGCTCTTCTGGGAAGGGCCACGGGGTCACCACTTCTCCCTTTCCTGGCCTCCTCCTTCTGCCCCCACCTTTGGGGCCTTCCGCACCCGAGACTGGGGGTGGCCGGGGAAGGGACTGGGGGCTCCTCCTCCGGAGCCCCATGAACCAGGCAGTGAGTCAGAAGGGGAAGGGGAAGTAGGGGCCTCGCCTGGGGGCTGGCCTTTCCCCTGGGTGGGACCTGAATCCCTTGCCTACCCGAGGGTGCTCTCTGCCCCAGCCCCTGAAAGCAGATCCCGCCTGAGCCATGGCCCCAAGACTTGTCCTCACCCTCACCTTCTGGGTGTGTTGCTCACTTTGCTGCGGGAGAGAAGGTATGTGGGGACCCGGGGGGGTAGGGGGAGCCAGGGCAGAGGGACACTCTCCGAGGACTGGACTTTGCCGTGGAACATCCTGGGTGGGGTGGGAGCTCACACACCTTCTGTATGACCACTGATGGGAGGGGGTTACCATCCCATTGCATGAGGCACAGAGAGGGCAAGAGCTACCCCAAAGGGACCGGGAAGTGGCAGCCACAGCCTGGAGGAAGGGAGGGTGGGAGAGAAAGAAATTTTAATTGTATCCATTCATTTCATGTGATTCAAAACAAAACCATCACAAAGAGGGGGGTCCGGTAAAGCATCTCCCTCCCACCAGAAATCCCCGGCAACCCTAGGTCCCCTCTGTGGCTCCGTCAACCTCAGTTTCCCCATCTGGAAACTGGGTTAATAGTTCCTGCCTTGGTAGGTTGTAGCGAGAGTGAGAGATGATGTAGGTGCCTTTCATTCATGTACTCATTCATTCCACAAACCTCTGTTAGGCTCCTAATGTGTGCCCAGCACTGGCTGGCAGCGAGGTGGGGGCCAAGCCACGGTAGGGCTTTGACAGTCACAGGTGAATCAGAAGCTCACGCTCTCCTTCTCTCTCTGGGCCCCCCAGCGGCTCACACCCAGCCCAGGGTGCGGTGCCAGGCCTCTAGGTACCCGATCGCAGTGGATTGCTCCTGGACCCTGCCGCCCGCTCCAAACTCCTCCAGGCCCACGTCCTTCATTGCCACGTACAGGTCAGAGAGACTGGAGGGCTTCCTGGGGATTCTACATCTGGGCTGACCCCCTAGGATCAGGGCAGCTGGGGATTTAGTGAGAGCCTGAACCCCTCAGAATTCTAGAGCACCACCAACCCTTAGAAATATACTCCCTAAAATACATACTGCGAGCCACATGTGGAGGGTAAAATTTTCTAGAAGCCACATTTAAAGAAGAAAAAGAAATGGGTGACATTGGCTTTAATATTTTATTTAAATAGTATCTAAATATTTCAAATGTTTGTCATTTAATATGATCAAATGCAATGTACTTTAACATGCTTATATACGATTCATGTATTTAAACTTATACTAGAAATTGATTTCATAGCATTTAATAGGATTATCTAAAGTATTCAATATGTAATCAATACTTTAAAAATTAATGAGTAATTTTGCATTCAGTCTTGTTATACTGTCATGGAATTCCATGTGTGCTTTACACATGTGTCACACTTCAATTCAGATGCTAAACATTCAATCAGAAATTCTTTTTTTTAAAAAAATAAATTTATTTATTTATTTTTGGCTGCTTTGTGTCTTCCCGTTGCTGCCCGCAGGCTTTCTCTAGTTGTGGTGAGCGGGGGCTACTCTTCATTGTGGTGAGCAGGCTTCCCATTGCAGTGGCTTCTCTTGTTGTGGAGCATGGGCTCTAGGTGCATGGTCTTTAGTAGTTGTGGCACACGGGCTTAGTTGCTCCGCGGCATGTGGGATCTTCCCGGACCAGGGCTCGAACCCGTGTCCCCTGCATTGGTAGATGGATTCTTAACCACTGCACCACCAGAGAAGTCCCCCAATCGGATATTCTTGATCTCTGATTAGATTTCATAACATTTGTGTTTGGAAAAGTAGATTCACACACCTGAGTTGTTCTGAGGAACTTTCCCACGCTTTCTGATAGGTGGGAACTTTTCATTCAGATTAGATGAAATAAATCAAAAAGTCCCACTCAGCTGCACTAGCCGCGCTTCATATCCACAGGGCAGAAGCAGAACGTTTTGGATGCTGTGGAAGTTTCTGTGGACGGTGCTGAGTTCCAGGCTCCAGAGTCTGAAATCTTGCAGTGTCAGAACTCGAGAGAACTGGAATCTTATTATTTCGGATTCCGGAATCGTAGACCTGGGAATGTTGGAATTCTAAGGCTGGAATGTTGACGTTCCAGAAAGCTTTATTTATTTATTTAAAAAACTGTATTATTATTATTACTTGGCTGTGCTGGGTGTTTGCTGTGGCATGCGGGTTCTTCTTCAGTGTGGTGTACAGCCTTCCCTCTAGTTGTGGCACACGGGCTCCAGAGCACGCGGGCTCAGTTGTGGTGCGCGGGCTTAGTTGCCCCGCGGCATGCGGGATCTTAGTTCCCCGACCAGGGATCGAACCCACGTCCCCTGCATTGGAAGGCAGATTCTTAACCACCGGACCACCAGGGAAGTCCCCCCAGAAAGTGTTAGAATCCGGACCCTAGCATCTCCCTGTGGGGTTTTACCCCCAACCCTGGGTCCCCCGGGCTCTGTGATGTTGGAGTGAGGGGTCCCTAGGATCACACAGCCAAGAGCAGGACTCCTCACCTGCCGTCCCTACTTGGGGTCCAGGGCACAGGGGGCCAGCAGGAAGTGCTGCGACCCTCACAGCACACTCGGTGTCCAGGCTTGGCGTGGCAGCCCATGGGGAGAGCTGGCCCTGCCTCCAGCAGACACCAGAGGCCACCAGCTGTATCATCCCTGACATCCAGATGTTCTCCATGGTGCCCTATGTGCTCAACATCACGGCTGTCCACCCCCGGGGCGTCAGCAGCAGCTTCGTGCCGTTCGTCCCAGAGCACGTCAGTGAGTAGGGGCAGCGGTGGGGGTGTGGAGGGTCCCCCTTGCTTCTGCTCCTCACACACACACACACACACACACACACACCCACCTCCCACCTGTCAGAATGAGATCCTGTCCATCCCTCACGGATCCTGTGGGCTCCACCTTCACAATTCAGCAAGAATCTGCCCACTTCTCCCCTCTCCTGAGCCCCTACTTGGTCCAACCTGCATCACCGCCCACCTGGACCAGTGGCAGCCCCTCCATCCTGGTCCCCTATTCCTGCCCTCACCCGCATCTGTCCTCCTCACAGCAGCCACCAGAGGGCGCCTGTGAGCACTCCAGTCGGGTTCCCCCTTGGGTTCTTGCCCTCCTTCCCACAATCTGTCCTCCCCACAGCAGCCACCAGAAGGCGCCTGTGAGCACCTGAGTCAGGTCCCATTGTTGCCTTGCCTACAGCCCTCCAGGGCTCCCACTATCTGTTCCTGTCCCCCCCTGCCGTCCCCTCCTCCCTCTCCCCGCCTCGCTCACTCTGCTCCAGCCACATGGGCCTCCTCCCTGTTCTTCCGACACACCAGGCACAGTCCTGCCCTAGGACCTTTACACGTGCTGTTCCCCCTGCCCGCAAGGCTCTTCCCCCAGGTCTCCACAGTGTTCACTCCCTCACCTCCTTTAGCTCTCAACTCAGATGTCATCTCCTCAGTGAGTCCTCCCTAAGCATTTTTTTTTTTAATTGCAAACCATCATACATTGCTGGTGGTTACTAGAAAACAGACTGGCAGTCCCTCAAAGAGCTAAACATGTTACCATGTAATCCAGCAATTCCAATTCTAGATATATATCTAAGAGAAAATGGAAAGCATGTTTGCAGAAAAACTTGTGCATGAATGTTCACAGCAGCATTATCCATAATAGGCAGAAATTAGAAACGACACAAATACTCATTAACTGATGAATAGATACACAAAACGTGTCCATCCCCACAATGGAATATTATTCAGCCATAAAAAGGAGAGAAGCACCAACACTCACTACAACCTGGATGGACCTTGAGAACACGATGCTCAGTGAGAGAAGCCAGACACAGAAGGACACACAGGATGTGATTCCATTGATGGGAAATGTCCAGAACCGGCAAATCCACAGACACAGAGAGTGGGTTTGTGGTTGTCAGGGGCTTGGGAGGGAGGAATGGGGGGCTTACTGCTCACGGGGATGGGGCTTCTTTGGGGGAGATAGAATGTTCCGGATTAAATGGTGGTGATGGTTGCATGACACTGTGAATATACTAAAACCACTGAAGTGTACACTTTCAAAGGGTGAATTCTCTGGTATGTGAGTTATGTCTCCAAAAACATTGCAACCCACTACCCTCCTTGCACTCCTGAGCTTTCTTCCCTCCTTTTTATGACCTTCGGATCTGCCTCTTGTGTCTTATCTTCTGCCTGGGGGGATTGAGCTCCAAGGTGACAGGACTACTGTGTCCCTAGTATCCAGAACATCCCTGGACACTCAGCAGACCCTCAGTTAATATTTATTGGTTGGTTGGTTGAATGAATGAATGAATGTGCCCTCCGCTGACCCTGTCTCCTGCTTGTCCATCAGTCAAACCGGACCCTCCAGAAGGTGTGCGCCTGAGCCCCCTCCCTGGGCAGCGGCTCTGGGTGCAATGGGAACCCCCCCGGTCCTGGCCCTTCCCAGAGATCTTCTCACTCAAGTACCGGATCCGCTACAAGCGCCACGGAGCTGCCCGCTTCCGCCAGGTGAGGAGGGTGAGGTGAGGGGGAAGGCAGTTCCCGGGTAGACGGAAGAGCATGTGCAAAGGTACAGTGGGGTGTGGGTCACAGCTTGGGGTGCTGGTGTGCGACGTGAATGCAGCCCAGCAGTTCCACTCCTGGGCATCTACCCAAAAGAATTGAAAACACGGCCTCGAACAATTACTTGTACACAAATGTTCACAGCAGCACCACTCACAATGGTCAAAAGGTGGAAATAACACAAGTGCCTATCAACGGATGATGGATAAACACAACGTGGTCCCTCCACACACGGGAACATCACTCAGCCATGAAAAGGAGAGAAGCCCTGACACTCGCTACAACGTGGATGGACCCTTGAGAACACGATGCTCAGTGAGAGAAGCCAGACACAGGAGGACACACTGTGTGATTCTATTGATGGGAAACATCCAGAACAGGCAAATTCACAGAGACAGAGATTGGATTAGTGGTTGTCAGGGGCTGTGGGAGGGAGAGGGGGTGACTGCTAATGGGGATGGGGCTTCTTTCTGGGGGGATGGAATGTTCTGGAACTAGATAGTGGTGATGGTTGCCCAACACTGTGAATGTACTAAATGCCACTAGATTATCCATCTTGGAATGGTTAATTTTACGTCATGTGAATTTCACCTCAATTGAGAGCACCAATATATTGTTTTACATTCTTAAAAAATAAAGGCAGGGTTTCAGTCAGTGAGCATATGGGCAGGGCAGTTGTGTCCTGGGCAGCCTTGGATGCTGGGCTGAGGATCTGAGTCTTTGCAGGGTTTAGGCTTTTGCAATCCTGTCCCTTAGAACCTTCTGCAACAGTAGAAATGTTCCATATCCACACTGTCCAAGATGGTAGCCTCGGGCCGCGTGAAGCTGCCAAGCGGTTGCAACCTGGTGAGGAGTGAGGAATGGGCTTTTAAAGTTGATGTAGTATTCATTAATTTAATTTTGTAAATGCTTGCAATTTTAAAATTGAGACAGAATTTACATGCCACGAAGCTCTCTGTTTTAAAGTGCACAGGCCAGTAACTTTGGTGTATTCGCAAGATTGTGCAATGATTAATTAATCTAAATTTAAAACCGAAAGCGTCACATCCGGCTGCCACATGGGACAGCTTGTGCAGAGGAAGGAGGGACATAGTCAGACCTGAACTTGGGAAGCTGCCGATGGTGGCTGACATGGGACATGCCAAGGATGAGGGGGACCCCGATGTTGGAGGGAGAGTGTGGAGTGGCGGGGACAGAGGGGACAGGATGGAGAACCAGAAAGGCAGAGCTGAGAGGGTGTCTCATGGGTGCCCAGGGATTTTAGTCTGTGGAGGTGCCTGAGTGAGGACATGGAAAGGTCAAGGCCATCGAAAGAAGAATTTATTGCATTTCCCCAGAAAAGAGGACACATCACGCCACTCAGGGCCATGTGGGCAACTTTGGGACATCAGGAGGCTTAAGTGGGAGCCAGGGGAGAGCCCAGGCCAGAGGTGGATTGGGGTTTCCTCGGGGAAGGCTAGGCGGGGCAGGTGAACAGCTTAGGGTAAGCAAGTTTGAATAATTCCAGTGGGCTCTGGGCTGCAGGATGGTCTCTAGTTGCTTGGCATCTGGCCCTGGGGTGATTTAGGGCAGGGTGGGGATATGGGCTGGTGTGTGACCAGTACAGAGAGGGGATGGATGGGGGTGTGGACTCGGGGTGGATTGTTTTTTATATGAAAGGCATGCTCCTGGTCGACCAAGAATTGGCTGGCCAGGGAGCGGCAGGCTCTCCCTGCTCAGCAAGATGTTTAAGATGTCTGAAGATGTACGGGGGCCGCAGAGGGCATGCCAATGAGGATTGACATTGGTGCCTGAGTCTTGGAGCAGCAGCCCGAACATGCAGACGGAAGGCTTGATCACATAGCTTCCTTGTTTCCACTGACCCAGACCTCCTTCTGCTTTCAGGTGGGACCAATTGAAGGCACATCCTTCACCCTCAAGGCTGTGAGGCCCCAAGCCAAGTACTGCATCCAGGTAGCTGCTCTGGATCTCACTGACTATGGGGAATCAAGCGCCTGGAGTCTCCCCGCCGTTGCCTCCGTGACCCTGGGCAAGTAGTGGGGGTTCCCTGCACCCCCGAAGAGGGGCTGTGCCCTTGACATCCGCCTAAGGGTGGATGGGACCTGACTGGCCTGGGTTCACTGCTGCCGAGTTGCTGGGCAACCTTGGACAAGTGACTTTGCCTCTCTGAGCCTCAGTTTCTCAGTCTGTGAAATGGGGATGTACTCCCTACCTCCTCTGACACAGTGCAATGTTTTGTGAACTGTGAATATGAGATTTTTTAAATTGTTTAATTAGAAAAGGATCATTGTCACTAGAATCAGGACTCTTCCTTCTTTTAACAGATCCACATGAGACCCTGTGAGGAGAGGACAGACCAGGACACACACACACAGTGAATCCCCACTGCCACACGTGGGGTCAGGGCTGGACCAGAGGAAGAGATGGGGCTGGGGGAGTCAGGGCAGGGTGGTGGGTGTTCCGCCTGGGATGAAATGATGAATCCATTCAGTTCAGTTCAGTTTGGTTCACCTCAAAAGCTGCCCAGATGTGAGCCCCACTGTGGGTGGACACCAGTGGGACATGAGTTTGTCTGGAAAGCTCTGAGGAGGGGAAAACACAGCCAGGCTCTGAAGGATTTTCTCAATCCAGGAGCTTCTCGGTGCATTTCACTCAGGTCTCAATTCCAAGGTCACCTCCTCCAAGAAGCCTTCCCTGACCACCTAATCTAGGGCAAGCAGAATAAAGACCCCCCCCAAAGAGGTCCATGTCCTAATCCCCAGAACCTGTGAATGTGATACCTTACACAGCACAAGGGACTTTGCAGATGTGACTAATTTAACAATCTTGAGGATCCTTAAAGATTGAGGATCTTTCATTAAGTTAATGAAAGTGGGGACTTCCCTGGTGGTGCAGTGGTTAAGACTCCATTCTCCCAATGCAGGGGGCCCAGGTTCGATCCCTGGTCAGAGAACTAGATCCCACATGCCTGCTGCAACTAAGAGTTTGCATGCCACAAGTAAGGAGCCAGCAAGCCACAACTAAGGAGCCCGCCTGCCACAACTAAGACCTGGTGCAACCAAATATATTTTTTAAAGTTAATGAAAATGAAGTAGAGTTATATTGTATTATCCAGGTGGCCCCAAGGTAATCACAAGTGACCTTATAAAAGGGAAGCAGGAGGGTCAGAGGGAGACAGAGAAGGTGATGTGACAGTGGTAGCAGAGGTCAGAGTGATCCAGGACCACGAGCCATGGAACTCTGGCAGCCTCTAGAAGCTGGAAAAGACAAGGAAATGGATTCTTTCCTGAAGCCTCCTGAAGGAACCTGCCACCCATTTTAGACTTCTGACCTCCAAAACTCTAATAAATGTGTTGTTTAAAAATATTGAGCTTGTGGTAATTTGTTACAGCAGCCATAGGACACTCATACATCTCAAGTAGCCCCTTCTCATCACTTTCCATATATCTCCCTGTTTTATTATCTTCAGATCATTTACCAGGACCCGAAAGGGTTTTTTTGTGTGTTTATTGTGCCATCAGTCCCACCAGACAGACTGTGATCTCCATGAGGGCAGAAATCTTACGTCTTATTCTCTGATGTGTCCCCAGTGACTGAGCACGTCTTTGACACAGAACAAACATTTGTAAAAGGAAGGGAGGAGGCTAGGGAAGGAACGACTTCTTTAGAGGGACAACTCAGAGGCAAACAACGGGGGGGACATCTGGGAGTGAATGTTTGTAGGGGGAGGTAGATTTGGAGCCTGGTCTTTGAGTCTCTAACTGTGACTCAAGATAAACTTGGGTGTGGGGGGGCGTCCAGGGTGCTTCCTTGTGAAGCTGTGTGGATCGTAAGAACTGCCCCAGTCCTCAGGTGAGCGCTAGGGACACGGGATCGATGTGTAGGTTCCCGGAGCCCAACACACAAGGTAAGCGCTCAACGCTGAGTTCTACGTTTGCTGAATAAAAGAACAAACCACAGGGAATGTAGCTACCAGCAGTCACGTCGCGTGACGACGAAATTTTAACCAGTAGCTCCTAACCTCTAGAGGGCGCAGCGCCTCATCCTCGGAACTTCAAATCCACACCGACGCCGGAATCTTTTGCTGCGCCCTTACCGAGGTTGCAACTGGGGAGGGAATACAGACGGACTCGAATGTTGACAGGCGGGGATCTGAACCAATGAAAAGGCAAGCTGTGTGCGCAGCAGCCAATAACAGCGGTTGAAGGAAGTGACGGAAGCGGAAATACAAGGATAGATGGTCGGGGAAGTTCGACAAGCACTCAGGCTAATCAGTATTCTCGTGGTCGTGAGGAGAGTAGAAGGTAAAGATGTCGGAGCGAAAAGTTTTAAACGTAAGTTTTGGGCAACTAGGGTTTTCGACCTGGGGCGGGACATCTCGGAGCTCGGGCCGAGGAGGGCTACTTATACTCTTCTATTAGGGCCTTTGCTTTCTTCCCCAACGGCCTTCTGCAGGGCGGGGCTCTCTAGAACCCTCCTAATCACCTTCTGCGGGGGGTGGGCCTTCACTAAGCCTTCCCCTTGAGGCTGGGGTGTACCCAGTCACCTGTGGGGGCGGAGCTTAGGCTATATACCCAATCACTTCTGATAGGATTTTCTGAAGGGAATTATCCTGTCACTCCCGTTGGGGCGGAGCTTCCTTAGGATGTTGGTATTCTCACTTTACATTCTCATCTCCAGGAGGCGTGGCTCTGTTAAGTCTCTCCCCGCTTGGGGTTCTAGCCAATCGTGTTCCTTGGAGGGATTAGGCTTTGCTAAACTCTTCTGCTCCGCTGGCAGGGACCCTTCCAGTTGCCTCAACTTCTCCCAGTTCTGTTGGGGAAAACTGGGACTCAGGGTGTGGAGCTGGTCTCTGGAAGGCAGAATTCAGCTTCTGGAGAAGAGCGCTCTGGAATTCTGAGTCCCTGTTCCCCGCCCTTCAGCAGGGTGTGTGCTCCCAGGAAGGGGGTGAGCTCCCCAGCCTGGGAGTGTGTAAGCCTAAGATGTCTGGACGGAGTAGAGAGGAGACCTTCAGACTGGTGGCTTGGAGCCCAGGATGATGTCCCTTACAGTGACTCAGTGCTCTAATCTTTTAAACACCTATATTAGGAATTCAGCCCCAGCCAGCCCCAGTGCAGTGTGCCGGACTTCGAGTCCGTGAAAGTCCTTCCATCCCGAGGATCCAACTGGCAGCCCAGCTATTTCCATAACTTGCTGGTAGATACTTCTGTGTGCCAGGCACAGCTCTAAGTGCCTTGTTCATCAGGTCTTCTCAGGGGGACAGGTTATCCCTTCTTCAGATGAGGAAACTGAGGCCCAGAGAGGTTATGTAATAGCCAGAGAATAGAGGAATCAAACCCAGACACCCCTCTCCGCCAGCTCTGTAACTGATGCTCCTAATAACTGTACCACAGTTTCCCCAGAGCTGTGTCCCTGGGTCTGAATCCTGGATCTGCTGCTCACACTGTGTGACCCTGAGTAGCTGAAACCACCAGAACTCAGTTTCCTCCTCTGTGAAATGGGTACACCATTCTCTGTTTCATAGAGTCTTTTCAAGGATTCCATGAGGCAGGGGACATAAAGCTCTCTGTGTACTACGTGGAGCCTAGTAAGTGCTCAAAATGCAAAGTGCTTTATTTTCTGATTATCGTATGTAGTTCTCTCATAATCCAAACTCTCCTTCCCCACATCTCCCATCTCAGGCTCCCGTGCAGAAAGAGTTAATGCAACAGGCTTGAGGCTGCTGCCTTAGAAAGGCTGGCTCGCAATGCTGGACTTTGGCTGGTATCCGGGAACCTGAATTTTGGGATGGTTCCCAATGTTCTCTGAGAAGAATGGCTCCCTGGGGTTAAACTGTTTGTACAAACAGTGCGGTTTATGCTGAGCACCCGCTCCCCTCCGGGAGTCTAGAGTCTGGAATCATCATATGTGCCGGGCAGAGATGCCTACACACCAGCCCCCAGTGAAAACCTTGGGTGCTGGGTCTTCCTGAGCTTCCCTGGGGGACATTTCACACACGTTGTCACAATATATCACTGGGAGAATTGACTCCATCAGAAGTCTCTGGAAGCTTGTGTCCGGTCTCCCTGGGCCCCTCCCCACATGCCTTTTCCCTTGGCTCGTTTTTCTCTGTATCCCTTTGCTGTAATGAATAGTAGCCATGAGGACAAGTGTATGCGAGTCCTAGGAGTCTTCTCACCAAATCCTCAAACGTGGGAGTGGTCTTGGGGACCCAGACACAGCTCCCCAGAGCTCCTTCCCTCTGCCCCCGGCCTGCCCCTGCATCTGAAAGCAGCTCCCCTGACCATTCCTTTCTCCCCACAGAAATACTACCCACCCGACTTCGACCCTTCAAAGATCCCCAAGCTCAAGCTGCCTAAAGACCGGCAGTATGTGGTGCGGCTGATGGCCCCCTTCAACATGAGGTGAGCGACCCCGCAGGGCCCCTGCACTGGTCATGGTGGACAGACCCAGTGCCCGGCACCCACAGAGAGCGTCCCGTCCCCAGTGCTCAGACCGGGTCGTCGGTCCTGGCTCAGACGTGGACCCAGTGAGCAAGTGACCGTGCCAGACCTCACCCTCCTGCCGTTCAGGACTAATCTCCCTGATGTCTCAGAGCTCCCAGCTGGTACCTGTGTCGAGATCTCAGTCACTGGTAGTAAGAGTGAGCACACGAGACAGGGTCCTGTATGTACATTCACTTCCTCCAGCAATCCTGTCCGTTCCCACCCCAGGGCCTTTGCACAAGCTGTTGCCTCTGCCTGGGACACTTTTCTTTCTGCTCTCACATGGCTGGCTCTTTTTTTTTTCTTTTTTGGATGAGTTGGGTCTTCGTTGTGGTGCGTGGGCTTCTCATTGTGGCTTCTCGTTGCTGAGCACGGGCTCAAGGTGTTCAGGCTTCAGTAGTTGTGGCTCGCGGGCTCTAGAGCGCAGGCTCAGTAGTTGTGGCGCACGGGCTTAGTTGCTCTGTGGCATGTGGGATCTTCCCGGGCCAGGGCTCGAACCCGTGTTCCCGCATTGGCAGGCAGATTCTTAACCACTGCGCCACCAGGGAAGCCCTGGCTGGCTCTTTTTCACCCTTCAAGACTTGGCTTAGATCTCACCCCCTCAGAGAGGCCCTCTGGATCCCCCTCCCAACCCCCTCCATCCTTCCCTCCCCGTCACAGTCCCCAGGCCTTGTCCTTCATACCGCCTCGGAATTACTGTACCTGACCACAATTTTTCACATCTTAGCACATCTGAAACGAAGTGGTAATCAAAGCCACCTTTGTTAGTGAAATTCAGCCCGTGTTTACATATTCTTTTCTCTCTCCCCTTCCTTCATTCGTTTTCCCTCAGCAGTCACTTACTGGGCACCTGCTGTGCACCAGGGCCTTGGCTGGGTGCCAGGGACACTGTGAGCATCAAGACTTGCCCCCCCCACCCCCGCCCCAGGACTAGAGCCTGTACCTAGAGCCCGTGCTCCACAACAAGAGAAGCCACCGCAATGAGAAGCCCGAGCACCACAATGAAGAGTAGGCTGCACTTGCCGCAGCTAGAGAAAGCCCGCGCACAGCAACGAAGACCCAACGCAGCCAAAAATTTAAAAGATAAATAAATAAATAAATAAATAAGACTTGACCCCCTGGAGCCGTCTGGTGGGGAGTAGAGATAATACACAAGGGCTCAGGAGTATTCACGAAAGGCGCCTGTAGGACACATAGATGGTCATGAGAGAGAGAGAGGGACTGGACGGTGGCCGGGGAGGGAAGGCGCTTCTCTGGGTGGTCAGGCAAACGTCGGAAGAAATGCCAGCAGAACTGGAATCTGAGGAATGGAAGGTGTCACGGGCTATGGGGATTGCAAGGGCAAAGGCCCGGAGGTGGGACCGAGCTGGGGTGTTTGTAGGAACAGTCAGGGGGCCAGGGAGCACAGGATCTGAGCAGGAGGGGCCGCGGGAGGGCAGGGTGCGCAAGCTCTGCCTTGCTCCTTGTGGCGTCCCCCCTGGTGGAATCTGCACTTTGGAGGTCAGGATGCCCCATGAACTCCAGGCTTGCTTCCAGGAATGGGTGATAGGCGAGTCTCACCTAGTCTGGGTAGTCTGGGTGCTTCCCAAGAAGGCAGCACCTCAGCCGAGACCCAGGCAGATATTAGTGAGAAGAGTATGCCATCTAAGGGAATCAGTACACACAATGGGGCAGTCTTCTTGGGGAAGGGAGCTTCCCGTCCCTGGAGGTATGCAAGCAGCCATCTGCCAGAATGCTAAAGCGTCCTACCAGTAAGAACCAGGGTACCGAGAATGACTTGAGTCCCTGTCCTGCCCCACAGGTGTAAGACATGTGGAGAATATATCTACAAGGGCAAGAAGTTCAACGCCCGCAAAGAGACAGTGCAGAACGAGTCCTACCTGGGCCTGCCCATCTTCCGCTTCTACATCAAGTGCACGCGCTGCCTGGCAGAGATCACCTTCAAGGTAGGCGGCCAGCCAGGCTGGTCCTTCCCCCCTGGGGGCCAGTGCTCCTGTGCTCTCCCTCCAGGGAGATCCCATTTCACCTTCTCCGCAGGAAACAGCAAAGGTTTGGGGAGAAGTTCACAGCAGTGTTGTTTATAAAGGCAAAAAACCAGAAGCAACCTGGGTGTACGATGATGGGATTCAAGGGACAAACCACTGTACAGTGGAATATTGCACAGCCAGTAGTAGTCACGTTTTCACTTTGTTACTCTAAGGGTGGTATTAAAGATTTGAGGAAAGGATGAAGAGAACTTATAGTTTTCTCTTCACATACTTTTGTACTGTTTGAGCATTTTTTTTGCTAGGGATTTTTTTCCTTTGGTTAAAATAAAAAGTACATTAAAAAATAATATATTTTAATTACTTTTTTAACAACAGCTTTCTGAGACATGATTTATATGCCATGCAATTCTCTCTTTTATATTGTATAATTCAGTGGTTTATACTCCTAATGTACTAAGCTGTCTTCTCTAATTCCAGGATGTTCTCTTTACCCCAAAATTAAGCCCCAACCCTATCAGCAGTTACTCCCCATCCCTCTCCCCAGCCCCTGTCAACCACGAATCCACTTTCTGTGTCAGTGGATTGCCTATTACAGACATTTCTTTATCAGTGGAATCACCCTGTAGCCTTTTGTGTCTGGCATCTCTCACTGAGCATCATGTTTCCAAAGTCCATCAATGTTGTAGCATGTATCAGTGCTTTACTCCTTTTCAGGGCTGAATAATATTCCACTGTATGGACGGGCCACATTTTCTTTATCCATTTGCCAGCTGATGGACATATGGGTTGTCTCCAGAAAATGTTTTTTTACCTGAATTATGAAGTATGTATATACTTAGATATTAATGAATACATATGAATTTTTTTAAAGACTAGAGAAACTACCGCAAAATGTTACAAATGGGTCTTTATAGTGAAGAATTTCAAATAACTAGGATTGCATATGTGTGTGTGTGTGTGTGTGTGTGTGTGAGCATATGGTAAAAACAGAATTCCCACAGTAGTGCAGGATTAACACTGGAAAATTTGTTTACTGCTCCCCTCTGCCCAGGCAGCCCCCATGCATAGAGACATTTATAACAGTTTCTTGTATGGCTTTCAAAAAATGTGCTCTGCATACACATGCACACACAGGGATCACTCTCTTCCTTGCTCTTTCTTTTTAAATAGTAAGCTTCTTATTTTGGAATACTTTTAGATTTACGGAGAAGTTGCAAAGATAGCACAGAGAGTTCCCATCTGCCTCTCGCCAGCTTCCCCTCCTGTTAACGTCTTCCATTTCCACAGTGCATCCACCACAATAAGAAACCAACACTGGATTATTACTGTTAGCCAAATTCCAGACATGATATGGATTTCAATCTTTCCACTAATGTCACCTTTCTGTTCCAGGGTCTCATCCAGGATACCATGTTATATTTTTGCTTCTCCGTTTTATAAACGCAAATAGGAGCATATGCTTTATACATACTTGGTACGTAATTCATAATTAGGGGCAGAAGGCCAAGTGCGCGCGCGCGCGACACACACAGACACACACAGACGCCAGAAAGGGGATGTGCAGAGATCCAGAGACTTTTATTTGCAAACATGTGGAAGGCGAAGGGCAGCAGGGAGGGAGTGGGCAGGCGGAGAAGGGTCTGCAGATGTATGCTAGGGAGTTCAGCGATTCTACAAAAGGGGACAGGAGCACTAGAAAGAAAGAACTGTACTCGCCAAAGCCGTAGGCAAGAAAAAGAAAGAATTGGGGTTTTTGTGTGTTTGTTTTTTGCGGTACGCGGGCCTCTCACTGTTGTGGCCTCTCCCGTTGCGGAGCACAGGCTCCGGACGCGCAGGCTCAGCGGCCATGGCTCACGGGCCCAGCCGCTCCGCGGCATGCGGGATCCTCCCGGACCGGGGCACGAACCCGCGTCCCCTGCATCGGCAGGCGGACCCTCGACCACTGCGCCACCAGGGAAGCCCAAGAATTGGTATTAAGAGGAGTGAAACATGGAGAGAAGGTGTCCCAGGCTGCTGGCTGCTGTTCAGCAGAAACTCTTGATGCTCAGAGATGTAGGAGCTGATGTCTGCCCATCCTCCCTCCCAGACAGACCCCGAAAACACAGACTACACCATGGAGCACGGAGCCACGCGGAACTTCCAGGCTGAGAAGCTCCTGGAGGAGGAGGAGAAGAGGGTGCAGAAGGAACGGGAGGACGAGGAGCTGAACAACCCCATGAAGGTGAGTGTGCGCAGGGGCGCGCGCGTGTGCGTGTGCACGCACAGGTGCCTGTGCTTCGGTGCTGGCGGAATCGGTGCCCCTTCCTGCCTCAGGCCTCCAGGCAGGGTGATGGGGTGGGGAGTGTGGTCAGCAGAACTCTAAGATGTCCCCAGAGCCCTGACTCCTGGTCACACACCTCATCCAGTCCCAAGACTGTGCATACAAGGATCCTATTCCTGTGACTAAGTTATGTTAGGTTAAACTATGGCACAGTCGCCCTTGTAAGAGGGAGATTATCCGGATGGTCCCCTTAATACGGGTCTAGAGTCAGAGACAGAGAACGTCAGAGACATGAAGGACTGACACTGTGGAAGTAGCCACGTGGCAGGGACCAGCAGGCAGCCCCTAGGAGCTGAGAACAGCCCCTAGTCAGCAGCCAGTAAGAAGGCAGGGACCTCAGTCCCACAACCACAAGGAACTGAATTCTCCAGCAGCCTGAGTGAGCTCAGAAGAGGGCCCTGGACCCTTGATCTCAGCCTAGCAAGACTGCCAGGGAACCCAGCTGTGTCGGCCCAGACTCCCAACCCACAGAAACCAGGAGACAATGAATTTGTGTTGTTTTAAGCCACTGGGCTGGTGGCAAATTGCGGCACAGCAAGAGAAAACTAACACAGGGAGTCAGGAAGTTGGACTTCGGAACGCCAGGTGCTTCCTGCAGCCAGGTGCCCTGCAGTTTTCTAAGGAGATTCCCATTAGGCTAGTTTGGATTAAGACTAGAAATAGAGAAGGAAACGTTCTCTTGACCTGGCTGTGTTACCTTGGCCAAGGCACTTGGCCTCTCTGTGTCTCAGCATCCTCATCTGTAAAATGAGATGAGATTGTGCCCCCCTCGTACACTTGTGGTGAGGGTTAAATGAGTTCATACACATAAAACCCTTAGAACACAGCTTGGCACATAGTAATTCATAAATATTGATACTCCTTTTGTTATCCCTTAAAGAAGTTATTTTCATCTTTAACTGGACATTTTTTTCGTCTTTCTCATAAATAGTAGGAAGTCCATGTTCTCCTCTGTCTCCTCCCACCCCCATAATTCCCATCTCTCCCTGGACCCTCACACCTCTGCCAGCTATGTTTTCTGATCAAGCCATGTCAGATCTGATCCGATGTTTTCAGCAGCCGTGCGGAGCAGCAGGGAGGGAAATAGGCCTTAGAGGCAGTTTGCTGTATTCCTGGAGCTTCCTCTGTCCATGTGCTGCTCTAGTGCTGCTACACTGGCCAGCACGGGGTTATTACCCTGGTACTGGTTAGCTGTCCTTGTGTAACAAGTCGACTCAAAACTTTGCAACTTCCAGCATTTATTATCCCACAGTTTCTGAGGGTCAGGAATCCAGGAGCAGCTTTGCTAGATGGTTCTGTGGATCCCTCCCAAGGTCACAGTCAAGCTGTCTGCTGCGGCTGCCTCATCTGATGGCTCAGCTGGGGCTGGAGGAGCCACTTCCAGGGTGGCCTCCTCACGTGGCCTTTCCCTGGAGGCTTCATGTCCTGTCCACGTGGGCCTCTCCACAGCGCTGCTTGAGCCTCCTCACAACATGGGGCCTTCTCCCCCTCCCCCAGCGAGAGTCCCAGAGAGAACAAGGAGGAGCCCCGGGCCTTTTATGACCTGTCTCAGAAGGGACACACCGTCATTGGTCCTGTTGTGTTCATCAGAAGCGAGTTACTACAACAGCCCACCCTCACAGGGAGGGGAGTTAGGCTCCACCTCTGGAAGGGAGGAGCGTGAAAGAATTTGTGGACGTATTTTCAAACCACCACAACTGCCATTTCCCAGAGGGTTAGTTCAACAGGGTCACATAGCCAGGAAGCAGCCAAGGCAGGATTCATTCCCAGCCCCGCCTAGCTCCAAAGCCACCTCTCTGAGACCTGGTGGGGCTGCCCTCACCTCTCTGAGCCTCAGTTCCTTTGTAAAGTGGGGGTTATTGCGAAGATTAAACATGATTATGTCTGGAAACATCTTAGCCTGGAGCCTGGCACACACCAGTTGCTCAGATCGTCTTTTTTTTAAATCTTTATTACTTTTGCTTAGTGACGGAGCCAGGCTGGAAGTCCAGGCCACCTGGCTCCACCGTTGACCAGCTGCATGGTCTTGGGCAGTCACTTCCCCTCCCTGAGCCTCAGTGTTCCGAGCCGTGAAATGAGTACAGCTGTGGGACCGGGTGCTGTGGATCGAGGCCCGAGGGTCGGGGGGGTCTCCCCTTGCCCATGGTGACCCCAGAGGCCAGGCAGGCCGCGTGGAGGGGTGGAATCCCAGCTCGCTCAGCCCTGCGTCTGCACACCTGCCAGGTGCTGGAGAACAGAACCAAGGACTCCAAGCTGGAGATGGAGGTTCTGGAGAACCTGCAGGAGCTCAAGGACCTGAACCAGCGGCAGGCGCACGTGGACTTCGAGGCCATGCTGCGGCAGCACCGCCTGTCGGAGGAGGAGCAGCGGAAGCACGAGCAGGCGGAGGACGAGCGGGAGGCGGCGTGAGTCCCAGGGCACCCGTCCCCCGCAGCCTCTATAGGGTCCTTCCCTCTGCCTGGAATCCCCCCTTCTGGACCTTTCCACAGCTCCCTCGTGCATCACCGTCTCAGGGAGGCCTTCCCCGCATCTCCCTCCCCATCTTGCTTTTTGTCTCATGGCGTCTGTGTCGGGGCCCCCAGGATCACCCCCAGGTTTGATGAGTTAATTACAGTGAAAAGTTACAGGGAAAAATCAGCAGAAGGAAAAGGCAGGTGGGGCAGAGTTGGAGGACTGGGCTCAGACTTTCAGAGACCTCTCCCGGTGGAGTCCCACAGGGCAGGCTTAATCCCCCCAGATGAGACGTGACAGCAGAGGGAGGGGCGCTCCCCGGGGAGGCCCACGAGACCCAGCCCGGGGTTCTCTCTGGGGGCCGGCCACGCAGGCACCTCGGCCCGGCCCGGCCGAGACCCCAGACCCAGGAGGAGAGCAGGTGCCTGTGCGGACCCCGTGTCTGCGCGGTGTCGGGGCGGGGGCCCCCAAGTCCAGATCCAGATGCCCCCCAAGGGCTGGCCTGGTGAGCCAACCTTTCTGAGGATCTGGCCTCAGGCCTGCTGTGTTCATGCTTTTTCCCAACACCTCCCACTCTCTGGAACCTTCTTGCTGATTTGCCCCTTTCCTGATTTATTATCTATCTCCCCTCATCTAAAGTCTGAACAGGGACTTGGTCTGACCTCTGCATCCATGGTCTGGAGCACGGTCAGACACATACTAGCTGCTGTTGGGTTGGCAGGTCAGTGATACCATAAATAACAGTGAGAGGAGTCTGCATTTAGCGAGCCCCTCCTCGGTGCCAGGCACTGTTCTGAGTTTAGCTCTGTCGTTATGGTGGTCAAGAGAACTGAGGTTCAAGGAGCTCCCAGCACAGCCCTGACTGAGGCCCCCCAGCTGGGGTTCAAACTCAGAATGGTTCTGGCTTCCAGGCACTTAACCACCCCACTGGGCTCAGTGGACAAAGAACTTTTTTTTTTTTGGCTGTGTTGGGTCGGGTCTTTGTTGCTGCGCGCAGGCTTTCTCTAGTTGCAGCAAGCAGGGGCTACTCTTTGTTGTGGTGCCCGGGCTTCTCATTGCAGTGGCTTCTCTTGTGGAGCATGGGCTCTAGGCACGTGGGCTTCAGTAGTTGCAGCACACAGGCTCAGCAGTTGTGTCTCGTGAGCTCTAGAGCACAGGCTCAGTAGTTGTGGCGCACGGGCTTAGTTGCTCTATAGCATGTGGGATCTTCCTGGACCAGGGCTCGAACCCACATCCCCTGCATTGGCAGGCAGACTCCCAACCGCTGTGCCACTAGGGAAGCCCCTGGACAAAGAATTATTTTTTAAGTTATTTGTGCATCTCCATCCCCCACTCAGTGAGATTAGGACAGGGCAGCCAGGCAGTGCACCTCAGTCAGGGTTGCGGGGGGGGCGGGCAGCCATTGTCCCACAACAGAGCATGTTCCCAAGTCCCACGTTCCTTCCCGCAGGGCCTTAGTGGAAGAATCTAGGAAACGAAGACTCCTGGAAGACTCTGATTCAGAGGAGGATGCTGCTCCCACCCAGCCCCAGCAGGCCCTCCTGCCCAACCCCACCGCCATCCTGGACGAGGTGAGTGCGGCCTGCCCGCATCTCCACATGCTCTCAGGTGCAGCAGGGACAGAGTAAGCCAGAGGTTGGCTTAACTTTGTCTTGAAAGGCCAGTCTGGGTCATAAGTGATCAACTCCACCGCCATAGCACTAAACAGCTGTAGATAGTACATGAATAAGTGGGCACGGCCGGGTGCCGATAAAACTTTATTTACAAAAACAGGTGGCAGGCCTCCGGGACTGTAGTTTTCCACCCCTGCTTCAGCTGCAGAAACAAGGAGACTCCCCACACTTACAGACATCAGGCAGACGTTTATTTCTGAGTCACTTCACAGTCCTGGGCTGGACTCCCAGGCAGCCGTGCTCCATGCAGTCACTCAGGGATCCAGGCTCCTCCCATCTCCTACTTCTGCCCCGTCCTAGAACATGGATGCCAACTCCGCAGTCACAGCTGGCTCAGAGCACCCTGGGGTTCCACTTGCAGGAAGGCGGAGCACATGTGGAGGACCACCAGCCAGCGCCTGGAGGCCCAGGTTCAGATGCAGCCCACCTCCATTCCCCTCGAGTCCCAATGGCCGGGCGTAGTCACATGGCCGCATCCTGCGGCAAGGGAGGCTGGGAGCTGCCTCCTCTAGCTGCCCTTGCTGGCAGAAAGAAAGAAGAGGATTTGGGGAGGGAGCTAGCATTTTCTGCCACAGATATCTTATCCAAGGTGGTCAAGGCCACTCTGGTTTGTTAATCGAAGGAGGGGGTTAAAGTGGGAAATCATAAATAGCACAGACACCCCCAGAAACTTATTATTTTAATTCAGAACATGTTCCTGGTCTGCATTAGTTAAATACAAGTCCAGCCACTGGACAGGACCCAAGTGACAGCCACTTCAACTACATGGAAGTTACTTTTCTCTCGAATAACAGTTGTGCGGGGCTGTGCAGAACAGAGAAGGTGGACCCTGGTGTCCGGGTCCTCATTGTCCTGCCGTCCCAAGGATGATGCCCTCATTGCAAGGCAGCTCAGTGCCACATCTGCATCCCAGCCAGTGGAAAGAGGTGGGGACAAGGGAGGAGGACATTGAGGGTAACTATACCCTTGATTGAGTACATCCTTCTGCTCACACCCCATTGGTCAGAACTGAACCACCTGACCACATCCTGCTGCAAAGGAGGCTGGGAAATGTAGTCTTTCACTGAGGCAGCCATGTTCCAGCTGAGAATTCTGTAAGTGTCTGAAGAGAGCGGGTTTGGGGGTAGTGTACTCTCACTCTCACCCATTAACGTTTTGACATAGAACCAAGGTGTTTTCCTCGAGGCTGTATCCCTGATCAGAGTTCTCACGCTGTCTCTCTTGGATAAACCAGCCTCAGAATTCATGGTCTAAAGTTTCCTCTTCCTTTTTTCTTTCAAGTGGAACAAGAGATAGAAGGTACTTTCAGAGCAGTCTGGCCTTGTATGATTTCCCCCCAGTCTTTTTTTTTTTTTTTTAATAAATTTAGTTAGTTAGTTAGTTAGTTTTGGCTGCGTTGGGTCTTCACTGCTGCTGCGCGGGCTTTCTCTAGTTGCAGCGAGCGGGGGCTACTCTTCGTCGTGGTGCCCAGGCTTCTCATTGCGGTGGCTTCTCTTGTTGCGGAGCACGGGCTCTAGGCGTGTGGGCTTTAGTAGTTGCAGCACGCAGGCTCAGTAGTTGTGGTTCGCAGGCTCAGTAGTTGCAGCACACAGGCTCAGTATTTGCAGCACACAGGCTCAGTAGTTGTGGCTCACGGACTCTAGAGCACAGGCTCAGTAGTTGTGGCACACGGGCTTAGCTGCTCTGCGGCATGTGGGATCTTCCCGGACCAGGGCTCGAACCCATGTCCCCTGCATTGGCAGGCGGATTCTTAACCACTGCGCCACCAGGGAAGCCCACCTGCCAGTCTCTTACAGTTACGTTGCTCGTAGCTAATTTGATGGTGGACTTCTTGTATTTTGCTTTACACAGACTTCACCATAACTTTTACGGAAACATCTCTCTTTCACCCCTCTGTTCCCTGGGTTTAGTTTAATGGGGACATGTAATGGCGTTTGACGAAAGGTGAAGGATAGCAGCTATCTCCGTCAGTCAGTTCAGTGGTGCCAGATAAGCAAGTTTCGGCTAGGATTGCCGGTCTCTCCCTGTGCCCACAGCGGACGGCCTCTGTCTCTATTACCACACACGGGGGATGCAGTGAGGCCGCTGTGTCCTCCTCCTGCCCCCACTCCCCGCCCCAACTGTGCCAGTCCCCTCGGATGGGCCAGGCTCAGTCCTGCTTCCCATCTCTTCTTGCTGACTTCAGCACTGCGTTCTGACCTCGGCTCTGCTGGCCCCCGATCAGCAGTAGCTGTCCCCCCGACGCTGTCACACCACCCTAACTTCTTTCTTTCACATCACTGATCAAGACAGTGGTGTCTGGGGACTTCCCTGGCGGTCCAGTGGTTAAGACTTCCTATTCCCAATGCAGGGGGCACAGGTTTGATCCCTGGTCGGGGAACTAAGATCCCTCATGCCGTGCAGCAAAAAAAGAAAAAGACGATGGTGTCCTGAGCATCTACTTGCTCATCCACCCTCTTCCTCCCCAGATGGTAAGCTCTGTGCGGGCAGCCCCCTGCTGTCATGCTCCCCCCGCACCCTCAGCTCCCAGCTCCGACAGGGCCTCCTGCACCTAGTGGTTTCCAGTTCCTCTATTTAAACATCAAACAGATAAAAGGGGTCTCTTCTGGTGCGACTGAAGAGCTGGAGGTGGGGCTGAGCCCCTCTCTGCCTCCCGCTAACTGGTCCCCAAAGTGGGTGCCCCCATCTTCTGTCATTCCCTCAAACATGTTGATTGAGCACCTACTACAGACCCAGCAGTGAACAAGGCAGGACCCCGCAGCTTGGTTGTGGAGGCAGTTAATAAGGCAGTGGAGGCCACTGCGGGCACAGACATGCAGCACACACTTGAGCTTGAAATGTGAGGAAAGGCTTCCCAGGGGAGCAGATACTTGAGATGGGTATTGGAGGATGAGTAGGAGTTCACCAAGTGAACTAGAAGCAAAGGGGGCATTCCAGGTGGAGGGAATGGCATGGGTAAAGGCATGGAGGTGAGTGGTCACAGTGTGATTTAGGAAGTGTAAGCGCAGGGTGTGGGGGGGCACAGAGGAGTTTCGAGCAGGAGAGAGTTGGTCAGCACAGCAGGGGGAGTGGGAATGGTAGAGATCCTGGCTCAGCTGGGTACTAGGAACCGGGCTGCCAGAAAAGGAGCAGGATCTGGGACAGACCCCCCAGTCATGCCTGCCCCCCACTACCCCCGCCACAAACTGCAGGCCCCAAAAGCCAAGAGGAAGGCGGAGAGCTGGGAGCGCAGTGTGGGCACCTTTGGCAGCAGTCCCCAGCTGTCTGGCCTGGTTGTGGTGAAGAAAACAGACCTGGGCCGCAGCATCCAGCGAGGAGGAGTCCTGCCCGCCCCAGGTAGGTTCCTGCAGTCCCTTAGCTTCATGCAGTGCCAAGGGCGGCCACCAGGTGGCAACAGCACCCCCGGTGCTGTTCCGGTGCGGGGTGAGGTATGCCCCCGACCAGGGGTAAGGGGAGAAGGGCTGCAGTTCCCTTTTTTTCTTGTAATTACAAGAGGAGCAAGTGCTCGCTTTTAAAACCCAAGTCAGATAGAGGCGTGTAGGACAAATTGTCCGCACCTCGGTGGTTGTGTCGCCGATGCTCTGTGTGTGTGGCTCCTCGGACCCTCGGGAGATGGAGAATTAGGGTGAGGTCGGCCCGATGAGATTGGTCCTCAGCTTCCTGTCCTGGAAGATTCTCATGACAACAGGACCAGCCTCGTAGGGCCTCGTAGGGTTTGGGGGCTGGTTCCATGAGCTGCTCCATGTCGGGTGCCTGCAGTAGATCCTGGCACCCAGCGAGCCTTGCGGATACACGAGCCATTGTTATCAGAACAGTTATTACCCCATTTATCAGATGAGGAGACTGAGGCCCAGAGAGGTGAAGCTGTTTGTGCAAAGCCACACAGCCAGGGTGGGTGGTGGAGCCAGGGTCTGCCCCTCTTTGTCACTTGGGACTTGGAGTGTTTCCATTTTCTGTGTTGCACCCCCGGCACGGGCACCTCTGCCCACCTAGATCAGCTTTCAGAAGCGGAGCTGCTGGGTCAAGGGGTGTGCGGTTTAAACCGTGATGGGTCTGCCAGGCACTTTCCACAAAGGCTGCAAACAAGCAGGAATGGCCGAGCCCGCTCTCCCAGCTTCAGCCAGGCCCAGCCCACCTGGAACTGTCCCGAGGTGGGCTGCCGGGACGAGGAGGCACGGTGGGCTAGCTCTCGCCTCTCCCCCAGACCGAGCCCGCTCCCAGCTTCAGCCAGGCCCAGCCCACCTGGAACTGTCCCGAGGGGGGCTGCCGGGACGAGGAGGCACGGTGGGCTAGCTCTCGCCTCTCCCCCAGATGTAATGAAGAACGGGCAGGTGGCTGGCCCTGCGCCCCAGACGTCTGGCACCTCCTCCCTGAGCCAGCTGGGTGTGTATTCCGACAGTGAGGACAGCAGCGGCAGCAACTGAGCCCTGCCCCCAGGCCCTTCCCCAGGTCAAGATCACACAGTGAGCTCCAGCCTGTGGTCGGGGCAGGAGGCCCTGGGACCAACCAGAGTCACCACCGGACAAGCACAAATGACCTCCAAGGCTGGCGGGGTCAGCAAGGGCTTCAGCTGAGGGACTCAGTTTCTCTCCCGTCCCCCACCATCCCCCCTCCGGAGCTCGGGGTCCCCAGCTCACGTGGCGACATCCCCGGAGCAGCTTCTGTCAGGCCTTCGAGGTCGTCGCGGCTGACATCCCGAGATGCTCTGGGCATGTGGGTGAGCCCACCCACCAGTGGTTGGCTCCATCCCCGCCACAGAACCGTCTGGAACCCATGAAAGGAACCTGCTGATCTGGCTTGCGGGTACCTTCTCTCTGCCAGCATCTGAGGAGGGGGCTGCAGAAGCATGCAACCTAGCCAGTCCTGGACTCTTGACTCAGAAACTGCGAGATGATAAATGTTCCTTGTTTCATACACTCAGTTTGGGGATAATTTGTGAAGCAGCGGTGGCAAGCTGATACGGTCATGTAACCAGCAAGTCTGATTCCAAAGCTCATGTTCTTTCAGGGTTGCCAGATCCCAGCTTGTGTGATCTCCTGCTGCAGCATTTTCTAGTTGAAGGTCCTGTGCCCCCGCCAGACTGCTTCACAGCTTGGTCAGTCCCCATCTCTGGTCTCCCACCCTTCCCGGGGTCACAGATGTTAGCCCTTCTCTCACACACAGACACACACAGACAGACTGTCATCTGGCATTTGGTAATGAGGCTTTGTGTTTTTCACTGTCAGAGTTTAGGGGATGAAACGCCCCCACTTTGGGGATTCGCTTCCCTACGGTGATTTCCTGGCTTAGGGACAGCACAATGAGGTGAACCAGGGTCCAACCAGGGCTTCTGATGAGGGCTTGGGGGTCTTATATTACAGCTCCATGGCTGCAAAGACAGGACCTGGGTGGGTCTGATCCCAAAGCCCTGACAGGGACTCCCCTGGCGGTCCGGTGGTTAAGACTCCTCGCTTCCACCGCAAGGGGCGCGGGATCGAACCTTGGTCGGGAAACTAAGATCCCACGTGCCTCTCGGCGTGACCAAAAAAAAAAAAAGCCCTGATGGTGAGGACTGAAGCCAGCCCACCCTGGCAGCTAGGGAGAACTGGTGCCTCGTGCATCTCTTCCCAGTTTTGCACCCAGCAGCATCATATCTATGGCTTAAAATTGGCCACCACGGAGTGTTTACACCATGGAAATCGGCAGATGCTGCTTGGTGAGGACTGAAGCCAGCCCACCCTGGCAGCTAGTGAGAACTGGTGCCTCGTGCATCTCTTCCCAGTTTTGCACCCAGCAGCATCATATCTATGGCTTAAAATTGGCCACCACGGAGTGTTTACACCATGGAAATCGGCAGATGCTGCTAACCAGTTCCCCACGCCAGAGCCAGTTGTGAAGTCCGTACCAGCGCACCACTGCCCATTTTTTCCCCCAACTTAGCATCCTGCAGACAGTGCCCTGGACGTGGGCCATTCAGAGACTCTGGGTTAAAATGTCATCCAGGGCTTCCCTGGTGGCGCAGTGGTTGGGAGTCCGCCTGCCGATGCAGGGGACACGGGTTCGTGCCCCGGTCTGGGAGGATCCCACATGCCGCGGAGCGGCTGGGCCCGTGAGCCGTGGCCGCTGAGCCTGCGCGTCTGGAGCCTGTGCTCCGCAACGGGAGAGGCCACAACAGTGAGAGGCCCGCGTACTGG